TATATGTATACATAAAATCACATGTCATGCAAGTCAAGGTCTTGAATTTTGGGCAAGAAAAGTTGGATATAGTCTCACGGTAAAGCTGGCCATACACATTTACATCATCTTTGAAAAAGTACGGCTCAATGATGCCACCAGCCCACAAACCGCTCCATACTGTGATGTTCATGGACGCTTGCAGTGCTCCTATCTTATATTCACTCCAAAATCGACAATTCAAATTATTTTGGTACCCATTGAGACAAATGTGAGCTTAACCGCTGAATGGAGGAAAGCGCGACTAACTTTGTTAACAGGGCACGCATTTTAATGATAAAATTCAATTCATGGACCAAACTGAAGATGATTGACAGTAAAACGAAACACGAAACGTGGGTGAGCTGTTTAAGCCAGTGCACAGTGGTCCCAACCCATGAAAAAAACCAACGGCCTCAGTACAATAAACTTTAACTCAAGCTCAGCATAGTCACTTCAAACATTAAATTATAGGGTGAGATGAAAAAACTGCAACTGTCATTATATTGTTTACAAGCGTACAAAAGCATTTTGGTGAAAAATTTCAGAAAAAAGTTATACGTGCTGGAATTCATGTGTGATAGTGTGATTTCTTTATATTTGGCTGAAAAACCACATGTGGCTATCGTTAGAGCACTCCTGCATTTAAACGTGAATAAATCTTTTGTGTCTCGTACCATTGCTCGTTACCGTGCTCCTGGTAGCGTAGCCCGACGTCAATGAAGTGGACAGCAACATCAGCAGAAATGGTTCGAAAAGCAAAGAAACGACTTGATCGAAACTCGCGTCGCAGTGGTTGAAAAATGGCTCGGCAAATATTGAAAAATGAGCTCAGGGTACATCCATTGAAATTCCAAAAAGTGCAAGAACTTACACCGCCACATAAAGAAAATAAACTCAAAAGAGCTAAAGATTTGCTTCGCTTGGCCGAATGGTGATCGGCCGGATTCGGGTTTCTCCGATGAGAAAACATTTGTTGTCCAGCAGTTTGTAAACAAACAAAATGATCGTGTTTACTTGCCAAAGAGGTCTGCTGAAAATGTGCACCTTTGGTTGGCCACCAGAACTTCAGCGCCGGCCGTCGTGATGGTGTGGACCGCCATGACAGCCGATGGTCGCTCTCCACTCATATTATTTGACCGTGGCATCAGAATAAATGCCGAAATTATCGCGAAAATATTCTAAAGGGTGTATTAAAGCCTTGGGCATGCAAACTTTTCGGCCGCAGATCTTGGACATTCCAACAGGACTCAGCACCATCGCACTCAGTACGCGTCACCCGTGAATGGTTACAAAATGAGGTTCTTCGCTTCATTTCTAGCGCACAATGGCCACCAAAATCTCCGGATACCAATCCGTTGGACTATTGTGTCTGGAGTATTTTGGAAAGCAAGGTGGGCACTAAAAAATACCAAAGTGTCGATCACCTCAAGCAAGCGCTTCGCCGAAAATGGGCCAAAATACCGCAGAGCAACATTCGGGCAGCGTGTGACGGTTTCATTGGCCGTAATTCGTGCCAAAGGTGACCATTTCGAACAAATCTTAACTTATTTTAAAATTTTATGCTATTTCCACATTTCTTGCTTTGATTCAAAAAAATGTAAAAAAGAAATAAAAAGTTTAGCGTTGCACTCTGTTGCAGTTTTTTTAATCACCCTGTGCACCAAATAATTCCTATCGGATATCTTAAGAATTCATTTTAGGGAAAAGAAGCCGATTTTGTTTGCTTTTCTCCGTGCTGCAATTTGTCTTTAATTAATTTCTTTTTTTGAGTGCAATTCGGCCAGCAAAAAATTAAATTATTTCATACTCGTATATTTTATGTACCTACATACGCATGTACAAAGTTCATTAACGCGTTTCTTTTCTTCATCTTCGTCACATCTACCATCTATGCATGTGTGAGTATATATCTGCAAGATAACATTTTTTATTGGTCTCGGTACTGATAAATGCCGGTTACTGTATGTTAATTATTGAGCCTTACCATTTGCATACAGGCAGACGCATCTACATATCTGTATGTATGCACGAATTTATGTGCCTATCATTCTCTCTTAATCACTTACTCTATCGCTATACTTTTGATTGGAAACCAGGGGATACAGCGTGTTTTGGTGTTGCTTTCCATATCTTTTTGCCAGTTCTGTGCTGCTGTTACTCAAATATGCAAAACATTATGTTTGGTTGTGTATATAGAGACGAGTAGTAGTAAGTTTTATTATAAGCGGAGATAATAACTGTAGAGTGCTGAGCGACTATGTCAGAGATACAAGTAGGTAGACCTACTTATGACCATATGCAATAATCTTTTCTATCAAGTTCCAGCAGAAATGAAATTGGTTCAAAACTGACATGACAGTGACAAAGAATACTTTGTAGATGTCCCATGGTTAACAGAAGGAGACACCAAACATTTCCTAGGTATGTCATAGAATGTACATCACATTTACAAGCTTATATTAGCTACACAAATCTTAATAACGATAAAATTCACAACGTCACTGCATTTATACCCTACGCCACACTGTGGTACAGGACATTTGTGCAACTGTTTGTAGCAGGCCAAAGGAAGAGATATAGGCCTATAGTGCCTTTTGATGATCACATTCTGAGTCGATTGTTTGTCGATAATTTTTGTAAACGAAGTACAGGTCTTATTTATTTTCCACAAATCACTTTTTGTGATAGTTCCCATATATATCTTCGTCCGATTTGAATTTAATGTTACGTCATATGTGTAATATTCGTCCAAATAGGAAATATCTCGGCACATCCGATCGACTTCAGCCTAGAAGCAAGTACTTCAAATTTGGTGAAAATCGGTTCAGATATAGCTTTATAGTTTCCATATCTTGCATGGATTTATAAACATTCAACCGAATTTTCCATTTGGTAAAACCCTGTTTCTTATTGCTCCGATATATATTTTTATACCCTCCACCATACATAGTATGAAGGGTATTGTAAGTTCGTCATTCCGTTTGTAACTCATTGAAACAATTTTAGACCCAACAAAGTATATATACTCTTGATGAGCGTATAATTCTGAGAAGTCCGTCGGTTGTAATCACGCTAGAGTCAAAACAAATTAAGATAGGATGCTAAAATTTTGCACAGTCTATTGTGCGCAGGCAGGTCAACTTCGAAGATGGGCTATATTGGTCCACGACATCGAAAAGCCCCATATAACGGTACCCCCGATATTCGGTGATTTTAGGCACATTTTTTTCAATTGAGTTTTCTAAAATTCTGCACAAGAATTTCTTCACATTTGTCAATGGTATTGTCTGAAATTCTACACAAGGAGTTCTCTGTGAGTACTTGACCACCTGAAAGAGAATTTTCTATACAGGCCCACGATAAGGGTACCCCCCGATATTCGGTATTTGGATGAATTTAGCCACATTTTTCAACGGAATTGTGTGAAATTCTACACAAGGAGTTCTCTGTGAGTACTTTATATCCTGGAAGAGAATTGTTTATATAGGACCACAATATAGGATATTTTGATGATTCTGAAATTCTACACAAGGAGTTCTTCCTGACTACTTTAACCCCTAAAAAAGAATTGGCTATATAGGTCTACAATATTATATATCACCCTCATAATTGTACCTCCCGATATTCGGTATTTTGATGATTTTAACCACATTTTTAAATGGATTTGTCTGAAATTCTGCCCAAGGAGTACTCTGTGAGGACTTTATCTCCTGAAAGGGAGCTTTCTATATAGGACCACGATATCCTATAGGCCCCATACAATGGTATGGGTTATTCGGTATTTTTATGATTTTAGTCACATTTTTCAATAGAATAGTCTGAAAATCCCCACAATGAGTTCTCTTTGAGTACTTTACCCCGTGGAAGAGAATTGTCTATGTAGGTATACGTTTTAGTATAGCACCCATATAACGCTACCCCGAGAAATTGGGTATTTTCAGGATTTTCGCAACATTATTCACCGGAATTGTGTCAAATTTCGCATTTGAAGTTCGTAATGGGTACTACACCCACTGACGGAAAATTGTCTATGCAGGTCCACGGAGGTACAACGGTATCTCCCTTTATTGATATTCTGATGATATTAGAGACATTATTTACCGGAATTGTTTCGAATTTCATATTTGAAGTTCGGAATCGGTACTTCAGCCTATGACAGAAAATTACTAGCATTACCAGCACCACGTCTTCGTATAGCCCCTTATACAAAGGTATTTATTTGAGCGATATCCCTTTCCAATGGTGAAGGGTATTAAAAGGTCTGTCCGGTCGAACTTAGCTGATTTTTTAGTTGTTTAATATAATCCTTTTCAAAGCCATATCATACACTCGATAGCAATGCAAGCAAAACGATCTTCACGATTTAAAATGTACAAGAAATTGCCAAAATCTAAACAGGGTCCGGCCTTTATTCTTTGACAGAAGTGTCAACAACAATTTAGACAATTAATAAAACTACACACCTTCTTATTTTTCTCTTATTTAAAATAATTTATATTTATTTTTTAAAACTTGTTTTACATATCATGTTTTGTGTATTTTTATGAATTAATTAAAATAATAAAAATATATAATTGAGAAAATTTGTTTTTTTAAATACATACAAAAATATAAATTGCTTTTGTGTGAAATATGCGATATTTAAATTCTAATAGAAATTCGTGTAACATACACTACTACGTTTTGACCATTATTTTTGTGTTTGCATAGCATAGACGTATTCTTAGGGAAAATTTAGCTATAAAATGGGATGGATATATTGGTCGTATAAAGTGTGGCGAAAGTGACGTTTTTGTGTGTGCGGAGGGACTACCATATTTAAAACAGTGTTAAACAAAATAAAAATGGTCAAACATAAGAAAAATAAACATACCAAACAAAAAACGCTCATTAATTTATGAAATGGAAAATGAAATGGGAAATTAATAAATCAACATAAAAAAACTTAAAAATATAAATAATAAATGGGACAAAAAGTATTTAAAATAGCTAATGTTCGTATGGAATTTATTGAAAAATCAGTCAGATAAAGGTGGGAAAATTAGGGGAAATTTAAAGCAAAACATTTGTTGTTAAATCTTTTTTATGAAAGGCATATAGAAAAGGAACGCTGTGTAGAAAAGAATAGTAAGTTAGAGATTTATCGCAACATTTATTTAGCCAGCAAATGCGATTGTTTTGTAAATATCATGAGTAAAACTATAAAATACAGCTGCTTTTTTCTGAGTCATACATTTGCCATGTAAGCAAATTAAGCCAAATCAAGCCGCGCCTAAGACCCGAACCTAAACAAAATCCTAACCAAATCATATTTATATATTTTTTTTTTTTTTGGTAACAAAAAGCCGCGCCGCGCCTATAGTTTGTTTGAATTATGGACAACAATGAAACGTTTTGTACTTCCCAAAGCTACTGGTTTTGTTTTCTTTTCAAACATCACAAGACTCAAGGTGATGTTAAAGAAAACAAATATTAAATTGATAAAACTGCCTCTATGTATGTGTGATGAATTAAATGGGGATTCCATACCAAAAATCAGTACGTACTTAATGGGTAAATTTTGTACTAAATAAGGGATGGGGTAGGGACAAAAATTAAACAATTATGCTAACTATTGTTACAATTATTAAAGACAAAGGCAGAGAGAGTAGGAAAAGTGTCATCTAGGAAATCTCAAACCTTAAGGTCTTTTTATTTTTTGAAGTTGGAAATATGATCATGGATTTCTGATCCTCACTGTGGTCAGTCAACATTAAAATGTCTAGATTCACATTAAATCATAATAATAATGCATAGTTATGTAATTTGCTTATACAATTGTTTTATGACACAAATTTGTTAATATTTATTAACATTATTAAATGGACTAAAATTTCTTTCGATGAAATTTTTCTCACTCCCTTTTGTATGTGTTTGAAAGAAGAATATTACAAACAAAAGAAAAAGTCAACCACTACAATTGTTATATCTACTCCTTACTGCTAACGATGGAATCCATTAGAGTACTATACAATTCGGAACGTGTGGAGACTTTTTGGAATTTTGAAGCTTGATATTTGGTATACACAGCCTTCAGTTTGGCATTTGGTGCATTACGAGCCACAGTGGCAATTTTCTTGGCAATGGGTCTTAAATGCTCCGGCGAGTAACGTGAATACCATTCCAAGGTCGAGTTCCAATGTTTGTTGTTCAAACCGGTGGCCATGTTGGTATTTTCTTTCAATAGATTTAGGGAGAGGAACAGTGAGGCGGCAGCAATCTGGAATGAAAAGATTAATGGTTTTACATTTTTTTTTTTATAAATTTAAAAATAATTTTAAAAGCAATTTTAAAAACAATGAAGTTTAAAAAATTAATTATTTGAAATATTCAAATTGATCACATCTAAAAGTAGATGATTCACAAAAATAAAAACAATTCCATTTCGATCCAAATTTGTCCGATATTGAATCAGAGGATTTGGTTTAGTTCACTTGTCGTTGAGTGGTTGAAAATAGGTTAGGTGAAAATATCAATCTCTTACTGGTTTTAAGTGAAATAAGGTCTTACTGTTCAAATTTTTAACATTTACAATATCTACTTTATATTATACGAAAAATCTGTTAATAATCAGTCTATACTTACTTCTGATGGCTTATAATGTGACATATCATACTCAATCATGGCCAATTCCAAAAAGTATTTCGACATGGCATGATGATTGTCTTCAGCTTCAGCAGCTTTGGAGAAACGGCGCAAGAAATGTATGGGCAATGGTCGCGACAAATTGCAATCCAAAGCCTTGAATATCTGCAATTCCATTTGACGAATTTGCTTGCCAGTATAGGTATCATCGGTGATATAGATGAAATCCGCAATGGCTGGTGGGAAAAGCTCTTCATACTTGGCAGCAATGAACAATGCGGTAACGCCAACCAATTGCAAATGTGATCGTTTGGTATCCTTAACAGCTTGCAAATAACGATCAATTATTGCCACAGCCAATTGGAATGTCTCAGCGGCCAAATGGAACTGAGTATGAACTTCGTTGATCCAATCAATTAGAACGGCACGCATTTTGGCGTAGACCTCAGCCTGGCCTTCCAAGTGATTTTTGGCAACTGGCTGCTCGGCTTCCAATTTGAAAAGGTACGAATAGATGTCGTTAACATAGTCTGAGACCAAAACCAAGTTTTCCGAATCGCCTTCATCAATATCCTTAACATCGTCCAATAGCTTGCTTGAGTGTGTTTGAACACTGACAATTTTCAGTTTATTATCGGCGGACTTAGTGGTGGTAGAGGTAGCTGTTGTTTCGGTGGTCTTCACAACTGGTTCCTTACGGCTTAATGTGGCAGCTGCCGAATGCGATTTGACCAGTGTTGGTTTGGTTGTAGCAGCATTTTGTGTAATGGCAGCCTTGATTTTTGTTAATGATTTACGGGATAAATTGCTATCTTCACGACGTAGAGAAGGTTCGACGGTGACATCCGTTTCAGTCTTGTTGTTTGTTTTGTTGATAACTAAAAATGCAGATTTTTATTTAAAATAAAATTGAAAATTAAGAGATATATGGGGCCCAACTTACTTTTAACTTGTTGCACTTTATTTTCGACCAGTTTCGTGGTCAGCGTCTTAACTTTATTATGCCCGACAAGCAAGTGCGAATTTGCCGATGCATGTCGTTGCAGTCCTCCCAATCCGGTGGTGGTTGTGGTGCCCAAACGCACCGAATTGGATCGGGTTAATACTTTACGCTGGGCTGCGGCAGCAGTAGGTGCCACTTCGCCGGTTGCAACATTTGTACGTGTAGCACCGCCGACTGTGGTCGTTGTTGTGGTCTTCTTCCAATGGGTATCCACACGAGCCTTGGTTGCACGCAACGCATTTTGAAGTTTTGTATCCTTCAGGCTGAAATTTAAAAAGAATGATTTGTTTATATATAATAAACTGCAGCAGACTACTGGGAAGATTAAAACAATAGTCAGAAAAAAAAAATGGGCAGAAAGGCATTCAAATATAACGGTTTTTTTTTTAATAGCCGCCCTTTGGACGGGGCTTGCGATTTTTTTCCTCTGGGAAGGTCCATCGCCGACAACACGGAGTAAAGAAAACATGATTTCTCCATATCTCTGGACCCAGAAAATATAACATATATTGTGGCATGTGTCAACTTTAATTTTAATTGGAACAAATTGAGTTTACACCCAGGTGGAGAAAAAATCCTGACATTTTCCATAAAGGTATACCTCCTGATCCTAATTGTAATATAATCAATACTTATCGAGATATAGGGTTCCAAAGTTGCAAAAATTTCCTTTTTATACTTAAAAACCAATAAAGAAAATATCAGTAAAAATTTCAGAAAAAATCTAGCTGAGCGTACTCACTTGAAACCTTTTAATTTTCGACATTAGGGGAAGGATTTTATTTAAAAACAAGTAAAAATTCAGGTATGTTAGTCCGAAATACGAAATTTGAAACAACTCCGGTGAATAATGTCGCTAATATCATCAAAATACCGAATATAGGGCTGAACCGATATATTGGGATTATACGAAGATCTAGACCTGCATAGCCAATTTTCTGTCATAGGCTTTAGGACGAAATACGAAATTTTTAAACCATTCCGGTAAATAATATTGCCGAAGTCATTAAAATACCGAATACAAGGAGGTACTGATACATGGGGCCTATACGAAGGCGTGGACCTGCATAGACAATTTTCTGTCACAGGCTTAGTACCCATTACCAAGTACAAATACAAAATTTGAAACCATTCCTGGGAATAACGTCGCTAAAATCTTCAAAATACCGAACATAGGGAGGTACAGTCCTATGGGGGATATATCTGGACGTGGACCTATATAGCCCATTTTACACCTATACCAAAAGTCCTGCAGATCAAACATTCAGTTGAGCAAAATTTTATCAACCTACTTCCATTCGTTCGGAAGCTGAAGTAATTTCCACAGACGGACGGACGGACAGGGCTAATCGACCTAGAATTTTATGCTGATCAAGAATACATATATTTTGTAGGGTCTAAAATGCTTAATTCTAGGTGTTACAAACGGAATGACAAACTTAATACTATGGTGGAGTGTATCGATACTTTTAATATAACACCCGTACCGTTTTAAATAACCCCCATCATGTGGCCATGTGTTATCAGTAGCTTTCATACTTCATGTGCAGTAGTTTAGTAGATCTATCTGGGAGCCGGACTTTCGGGCCAAATATCTGGGCATCCGTCACGCAAGAAAAAATACAAACATCTACCTCTAGAAACAATTAAAAACCAAGATTTCCTACTAAATTAGAGCTAAGCATATAAAACAATTATTTAAATTTGTGTTTCATCTATGGATGTGATCATACTGGAATGTAGATATTTAAAGAAAAATTTATATTCCATCTCTCCAAACTGCACTTATCGCACCACAATGGGTTAACATACAATAACAAGTCTACGTGATCTCTCAGCAATAAAAGCCGTTAAACTTGACGAACACTGTTTTCCATTCCACTCTTGTCCTATCTCTCTCTCTCACCATTGCATACAGAGGTCTCATGTACAACAAAGAATAATACAAAAATGAAAATAAGAATAACAGATGGAATGGATAGATTGATTGTGTACATATAATGATTGAAGTTAAACATCCCTGGCCGGGGAGGGAAAATGGAGAAAAATGATTACATCTAAAAAAATTGAAAATCATAATCAAAAGAAATTATGTTCTCCCCAGCTGTCATTAATGTGAGGATTGTAAATTACTTACTCCTTTTGTGCTGCGTCCTTGGCGGCAATTGTCCGTACAACACCACGATTTTGTAGGTCTCCTAATGCGGCTCTTTTTGTGACCTCTGTTGTGGAGACACCAATTTTTTTAACTTGCTTGAAAGCAGCAGACTCATTCTATAATAAAATAAATCGAGTTGAAAATTAAATGCAAATATTTTGATTTTCTTTTAACTTATTCTTGCAATGAAATTTGATAATTGTCAATTCAAGAATGAGGTAGACGCAAGAATTGAAAATGCCGCCATAAGGGTAAGTTGTTGTTGCAAATCACAGCATACAATTGGCTGTGTTGTTTCTGTATCAAAAGGAATGGGAATAATACCGCAAGTAAAACATGCTCGAAGGAAAAGAAGATATTCCAATGGAAATTGTGGAAAAAAACATATTTGTTGTTGTTGATCGAAAACAAAACGGTAAAATTCCCAAGGAAACAATGGATTTCTTTACATTGCTCGAATGGCGGGCATTCTAAATAAAATGTTTTATTAAAGCCCTTGTGGGAAAACCTCCACTTACCTCATCGACACGTTTTAAAACAGTTGTTCCAACCATTTTTGTCTAGTTTTTGTTTTGTATTCTATAGAATCCTCTTTAGAATTTGTTATAATTACTGAAATCGATCGCTTTTTTCTTCGTTTATTTTAATTGAAAGTTTTTATTCCCAGAATTTTCTTCGAGGAGAATAAAAACTGACACACAAATACAGAGACGTTTTGTTCAGGCTCGACAAACACACAAATTTATTTGAAGTTTTTTTCTTTTTGTTACTTGATTACATTAATGACACACAAAAATTGTTAATTATTTCTATTTGTTACTATTCTTTTCGATATTTCTCGTTGATTGCACTTTTGTGAAAACGTAGGTGTTTTCTTTAAAATAAAATAATAAATAAAATTCTTATAAAACGAAAATCTCTGCTCTCTACCTACGATCTGAACTCGAGCCGTTGCTGTTTGCTTTTGAATAAATGGCGTTTGAATTGTGGCGCACTTGGTTCGTTGAGTTGCGTTTCTTTCGTCAAAAAAATGGAGTTCTCAATAGCAAGGCAGCTGAATTCAATGTGGATGATGTGCACGCGTGTGTGTGTGAGTACTTGTTTTATTATTGCTTTGACGAAAACCTCTCTCTTGCTCTATCTCTATTGTTGTTTTGTTGCATCATGTGTTTGAATGTTTTGTTGCTATACCAATTGGCGGGCTTTGGTTGGGTTATGACGTTTAGGGTAGAAATTGTGATGTTAGAACCAAAAATACTACTTATGGACACACATTTTTGATCGTTTTACACAAAATCAATATTTTATAATAGTTTAAATAAATTAAAAATGTAATTTTAGGGTATTTCTCTCGTAGAATTATTTGACGAAGCTTAGCAGTGTTGTATTTGCGAATACGCTTCAAGAGGGAACCTATAGAAAATGCGTATATGATATGCCGAGGAGGTGTTGTACAATTTGTTGACAGTTTTGGAAACATTGAACATACACATTAGGGCTTTCAATGTTAAACACACCGTAGATGCGCTCACAAATATGGAAAAAATACAAGGTTTTTATACCCTGTGCTATAATTTGGTAGAATCAAGAAGGTAAAGCCATGCAATCATGTATTTACAATCTTTTCAAAATAATTCATTTGATGGCATCTCATTAAAATGTATATTTATTTATCCACTGTAAATACACATATCAGAGATGGGAAACTATATTTTATGCAGTGAAATTGGCTAAGGTAAATTACAGGAAATGTAGAGATGGGTATGCTTATTTCAAATGAGTTTATCTACTAAATTTTACCATGGCAACTACTCGATATACCCATATCAGACCCATCAAAGTATATACATTCTTGATCAACGTAAAAAGCTAAGTCGATTTAGCTATGTCCAACTGTCAGTTTCTCTGTCTGTTGTAATCACGATATTTTTTCGAACGAATTCAGACAGAAGGCTAAAATGTGTCACACATATGTATTTTGTCAGTAGACAGGTTAGGTTCGAAAAAGGCTCTTATCGGCTCACGTTTTCCTACAGCCCCCATATAACGATAGCTCTCAATATTCGGTATTTGGATGATTTTGGCGACATTATAGACCAGAATTGTTTCGAATTTCGTATTGTAAGATCTAAATGAGTACTACTACCTATGACAAAATATTACTAAGGGTTCAAGTACATAAAACGCTTGAAGTCACGGCTTGGCATATTAATGTCAAATTATAATGGAAAACGACGGCAGGATTTTAGTGCGGCTCTGTAATCGCTTTGTGAAAAGTCACAAAATATTCCTAGCCATGACTTCAAGCCTCTTATGTACTTAGCCCTTAATACATGTCCACGCTTCCGTATAGCCCCTATATAACGAAACCTCCCAAGATTCGGTATTTTAACGATTTTAGAGACATTATTCTCCGGAATTGTTCGTCCCGGCCGAACTTAGTTGCTTTTTATACCTTCCACCATAGTATGGTGGGTATATTAAGTTTGTCATTCCGTTTGTAACACTTCGAAATATACATTTTAGACCCCATAAAGTACATTTATTCTTGATCAGCACAAAATTCCATGTCTATTTAGTGATGTCCGTGCGTCAGTTGAAGTCATTCTAGCTTCCGAACGAATTAAAGTAGGTTGATAAAATTTTACTCAAATGTATATAATATCTGCAGTACTTTTGGGATTGAAAATGTGCCATGTAGGTCCGCTACCTTCCGATATCCGGTATTTTGATGATTTTAATGAAATTATTTGCCGGAATTGTTTCAAATTTGGTTTATGAAGTTCGTAATGGATACTACAGCCTTAGACATAAAATTGTCTGTGCAGGTCCACGTCTTCGGAGATACCCCTATAACGGTATCTCCCAATATTCGTTAATTTTCATGATTCTAACAACATTATTTACAATAATTGTTTCATATTTGGTATTTGAAGTTCGAAATGGATACTACATTCTATTACAGAAAATTCTCTGTGCAGATCCACGTTCTGGTATAGCCCTCATATAATAGTACCTCTCTATATTCGGTATTTTGATGATTTTAGCTACATTATTTACCGATTTCATATTTGAACATTGTGTGACAAAAGTCCGCGTCGTCGTAAAGACCCCAATATAACGATTTTAACAAAATTTTTAATGGATTTTTTTTTAAATTGTCAAGTTTGTTCCAAATGGTGGAGGGCATTCAATGTTCGATTTTTCCAATTCCAATTTTTAGACAAATCCATGAAAAAATGTGGCAAAAATCGTCAAGATACCGAATATCGGGAGATACCGTTATATGGGGGCTATACCACACAAACTAGGACCCATTATGACCTACAAATAACAATCTTCAGACAAATCCGTGAAAAAGTGAGGCAAAAATCTTAAAAATGCCGAATAGCGAGAGGTATTGTTATATGGGGACTATACCAAAATGTGGACTGATATATGTCCTTTTCAATACCAACCATCCTAGACACAATACAAATTATTCTAATTATTGAATTCAAATAATGTGGCCTGTATTGTGATTCCAACAGACGGACGGACAGACAGACGGACATTGTTAACTCGACTCAGAATTTTATGCTGATTATGATTATATATACACTATGGGGTCTACGACGAATATTTAGGGATGTTACAAACGGAATGACAAAGTTAATATACCCTCCTTCCCAAGGTGGAGGGTATAAAAATAAGTAGATTTTTAAATGTTTATTTATACGACGCCAATGGGTGTTTTTTATAATAGACATTTTTCAACAATTTTAACAACTTTCAATCATTTTCATTCAACACGATACCAATCGGAGGTTGTTATGATATACATTTTTCAAAAATTTCTACAAATTTGAATAATTTTTCATTCAAAATTTTCAATTTCGAAATCGGTTTGACAGTTCATTGTCCCAACAGCTGTGTCGATGCGACTACCTGTAATGACCTACCATGGTACATAGCCAAACAATAGAGAGACATATGATTGAGATTGTTGTAAAATAAGTGAGTTTATTCACATTGGTCTTATAGAATAACAGTAGGTTTTCTTTACAGAATCCATTTTTTGGTGAAAACTTTTTTATTAATTGCCTGTCTTCGGAAGAAAAAAACCCTTTGGAAAACCTTGAACATAAACCAACAATGACAGACAAACAGTGTTAATTGAATTTTAAACACCTTCCATTGACTTATCATTCAACAATTTATGATTTCCGCCAAATCACAAAACTGAAGTACCTACCAATCCAACAGCAAAAAATACAGAAACATCGCCAGAATCCATTTGCATGCATTGTTATTACAAGAAACAAAAATACATACAGCATCAAAAACAATGACAACAACAACTAATTCTAGAATCAAAATTCTAACAAGAACATTGTTGTGTTTGTTGTTCTTGCCAATATTAGCACTTATCATCATGCATATCTTCTGCAAACTGGGTATCTTTGAAAAGAATCTTTGCACGGTGCAGCAGTGGTTAGCTGGCGGCAGAGGAAATGCCTGCAAAAAACACTGGAAAATAAAACGAAGAACGGCCAAGAGATTTAGCTGAACTGTGTCTGGGTGTTTTTTTTGCGAGCACACATGTGCACGAGTCGATGATATTCACAAATATTTGTGTGTTTTGAGATGTGTTATGGAAAAATGAGCAAAAAATTAGAAAAAAAAAAAACAACTCCAAAATCAAAACAAAAAACACAAGAATTGGTTTTTCAAATTCCATTTCAACCGACTGTGATGATCAGTGTCAAGATTTGACATACAACTTGTGCTTCTTGTTAGGTCTTTTTATACCCTCCACCATAGATAGTATGGAGGGTATATTAAGTTCGTCATTCCGTTTATAACTCATCGAAATACTCATGTCAGACCCAACAAAGTATATCTATTCTTGATCAGCGTAAAATTCTAAGACGATTTAGCCATGCCCGTCTGTGTGTCTGTCTGTCTGTCTGTTGTAATCACGCTATCTTTCGAACAGATTGAGATAGAAGGCTAAAATTTTGCACACATGTATATTTTGCCAGTAACGGTACCTCCCGTATTTTGATGATTTTAGCGACATTATTTAACGGAATCGTTTCAAATTTGCTATTTGAAGTTCGTAATGGATACTACATCCTAAGTCAAAAAATGAGCTATATAGGTCCACGTCTTCATATAGCCCCCATATAACGGTACCCCCCGATATTCGGTATTTTGATGATTTTAGCGACATTATTTAACGGAATCGTTCCAAACTTGGTATTTGAAGCTCATAATAGATACTGCAGCATAATACAGAAAATGGGCAATGTAGGTTCACGTCTTCGTATAGCCCCCATATACCGTATAGCTCCCATATAACGGTACCCCCTATATTCGGTATTTTGATGATTTTAGCTAAATTATACACATATTTTTCTTCATGTTTCGCATTTAAATATTGTAATAACTTATGGCAAAGTTGCATATGCAGGTCTACTTTTTTTTTAAATTTTCGGTTTTTTGTTATTGCAAAATGGTCAGGCTTTATTCCTTTTATTGTTGTTTTTATAAAAACAACGTTTGTTTATTAGTGGAGAACGACCATTTTGCAACAACAAAATACTACGGTATCCCGAACAAACAAGCCACACTGTTCGATTTTCGGTATTTTTAAGATTTTAACAGAATTTTTAACGGATTTTATTTTTTTGGAAATTGCCAAATTTGTACCAAATGGTGGAGGGTATTAAAAGCTCGGCCGAACTTACTGCTTTTTTACTTGTTTTTTTTTTTTTTTTTTTTGAAAATTTCCTAATCCTTTGCATATGGTGGAGGGCATTCAAAGTTCGGCCCGGCCGAACTTAGAGCTTTTTTACTTGTTTATCTATTTAATGCGTTTGAATGGACAATTGTTTGCAACATGTTTGAGTGTGGCTCATTTAGTGTTTTTGTACAATTTCAATGTCGAAAAATTATGATTTATTAACGCGTCGTTCGTTACTCTTATCAGGAATT